CTTTTATAAATCAAACATATATTGACGCCATATCTAAAATCCAGCGATCAGATTATATTCGAAATCCTGCGACCAGCAATTGTCTATGACAGTCAATTACAGTTGATCGAATCAATTAATCGAATAATTGCATTCCGGCTCGCTTTTTCGTACGGTATATATAAATATTTAATCAATTAATCGAACGATTGCATTCCGATTCACCTTTTCATTCGGTATATATAAATATTTAACGAATTAATCGAACGAATGCATTCCGATTCATCTTTTCGTTTGGTATATATAAATATTTAATCAATTAATCAAACGATTGCATTCCGATTTACTTTTTCATTCGGTATATATAAATATTTAACGAATAAAATTGAACGAATGCATTCCAATTCATCTTTTCGTTTGGTATATATAAATATTTAATTCACTATTCGACTGATTGCATTCCGACTCGCCGACTTTTTTATTCGACATATATAAATATTTAATCAATTAATCGAACGATTGCATTCCGATTCACCTTTTCGTTCGGTATATATAAATATTGAACGAATTAATCGAACGAATGCATTTGGCTCGCCATTTTACTCGTCGCATTACGGCTAGTGAATGGCTGCTTTCAGCATAAAAAGCTGCTTTGCCACTGTTGTAAAATTCGTGAGCCTGATTGGCATATGCTCTTAATTTTGACTGAATCTAAGAGCACACACCAATCAGATTCACGAATTTTACAACAGTTGCGAAGCAGCTTTTCCTGCTGAACGCAGTCAATATTGCGCGTGAGAGTGAGGCAACATGCGTGGCGTCATGCGCGATTTCGACCGTCCGCGCGCAAAACGGCCAATTTATATCTCGACTTCCAAACATGATAGCGATTTCGTTCTTGTTGCATAAGATTCTGCACCATTTCGCGGCACTATCGTTTAAATCCCGTCCCGATCGTCCGAGGAGCGGCCGATTTACAGCGAATCTCCAAAATCTGCTTTTTGGACTCGTCCACGTGACGAATTGTGACGTTTGTCGGGAATCATCGACTTTCTCAGCTTGAAAAATTTACAATAACGACTAAAAATACCGCTCGCGATTCGTTATTACTATTAATATCATCAGACGTTATATACTTAAATATCCAGAGTAAGCTTCATTAAACTACAAAGATAAACATGATTTTCTAAATTTCACATTCGATCAACGAAATGTATTAATACCATTTGTTTAATAGTGATTTGATATGCGTTTGAAAATATAATAATGACATTCTAAATTATACATATAATTTTTATCTTCTCTCATATTATTCATATGGAAACGAAGGCTACTATTACTGAATCTAGTATATACTAGATTTTACGCATATTGTAATCTTCGTAGTTTAACGAATATCTAGCTTATTTTGGATATTTAGGTAATGTCTGATGATATTAGCAGTGATAACGAATCACGAGCGATCCGACAAAGATCAAAATTCGTCACGTGTAGTTCACGAAGTTGTGAGTCCAAGAAGCAGATTTCGGATATTCACTGGGTGCTTTCCATTTAGCGACACAAGTCGACACAAGTGTCATTCTATCTTTGTTTATTGTTATTTATTGAAAAAAGATAGAATGACACTTGTGCCGACTTGTGTCGCTAAATGGAAAGCACCCACTGTAAGTAATCGTTCCAGAATGTAATCGTTCGATTAATTAATCGGAATGCAATATTTATATATATAAATATTTAACGAATTAATCGAACGAATGCATTCCGATTCATCTTTTCGTTTGGTATATATAAATATTTAATTCACTATTCGACTGATTGCATTCTGACTCGCTTTTTTATTTGATATATATAAATATTTAATTAATTAATCGAACGATTGCATTCCGATTCATCTTTTCGTTCGATATATATATATATATATATATATATATATATATATATATAAGATACATATATTTAATCAATTAATCGAACGATTACATTCTGGTTCGCTTTTTCGTATATATAAATATTTAACGAATTAATCGAACGATTGCTTTCGGCTTGCCATTTTACTCGCCGCGTTACAGTGAATATCGCGCGAGAGAGGCAGGCAACATGCACGGCGTCGTGCACGATTTGGACTGTCGCGCGCAGACGAAAAACGGCCAATTTATATGTCGACTTCCGGACACGATAGCGATTTCGTTCTTTTTGCATAAAATTCTACACCATTTCGCGGCACTACCGTTTAAATCTCGTCCCGATCGCACGAGGAGCGGCTGACTTACAGTGAATATCCGAAAACTGCTTCTTGGATTCACACTTAAGTGTAATATTTATATATATCGAATAAAAAAACGAGTTGGAACGCAATCAGTCGAATAGTGAATTAAATATTTATATATACCAAATGAAAAGATGAATCGGAATGCATTCGTTCGATTAATTCGTTAAATATTTATATATACGAAAAAGCGAACCAGAATGTAATCGTTCGATTAATTAATTAAATATTTATATATATCGTATAAAAAAGCGAGTCGGAATGCGATCAGTCGAATAGTGAATTAAATATTTATATATTTATATATAATATTTATATATACCAAACGAAAAGATGAATCGGAATGCAATATTTATATATATAAATATTTAACAAATTAATCGAACGAATGCATTCCGATTCATCTTTTCGTTTGGTATATATAAATATTTAATTCACTATTCGACTGATTGCGTTCCGACTCGCTTTTTTATTCGATATATATAAATATTACACTTAAATGTGAGTCCAAGAAGCAGATTTCGGATATTCACTGTAAGTCAGCCGCTCCTCGTGCGATCGGGACGAGATTTAAACGATAGTGGCACGAAATGGTGTAGAATTTTATGCAAAAAGAACGAAATCGCTATTGCGTCCGGAAGTCGATATATAAATTGGCCGTTTTTCGTTTGTGCGCGACGGTCCAAATCGTGCACGACGCCGCGCATGTTGCCTGCCTCTCTCGCGTGATATTCACTGTAATGCGGCGAGTAAAATGGCAAGCCGAATGCAATCGTTCGATTAATTCGTTAAATATTTATATATACGAAAAAGCGAACCAGAATGTAATCGTTCGATTAATTGATTAAATATATATATCTTATATATATATATATATATATATATATATATATATATATATAAGAACGAAAAGATGAATCGGAATGCAATCGTTCGATTAATTAATTAAATATTAAATATATAGAAAATAAAAAAGCGAGTCGGAATGCAATCAGTCGAATAGTGAATTAAATATTTATATATACCAAACGAAAAAGTGAATCGGAATGCAATCGTTCGATTAATTGATTGAATATTTATATATACCGAACGAAAAAGCGAGCCGGAATGCAATTATTCGACTAATTGATTCGATCAACTGTAATTGACTGTCATAGACAATTGCTGGTCGCAGAATTTCGAATATAATCTGATCGCTGGATTTTAGATATGGCGTCAATATATGTTTGATTTATAAAAGAATCATAATTGTATGTTATTTCGCAAGATAGCTGATAAAATAATATATTTTTTCAAAATCTCCATTTAATAACATTTTTGTTCCTAGAAAAGAAATTTTTCTATATTAAATATATTATATTAAATATAGCAAGTTTTTTATAAAGATATTACGATTTCTTTTCAAGAATTCTCCAATTCTTTCAAGAGTTTAATACATTTGTGAATTTATATTTTTGCGATACAAAGCTTTAGACTTAAAATTTTAAGAATACTTGTAATTCTTGGGGTTTTAATTAGTACAACTTTTTATTGAATTATATTAGTCGGATACTTTGTTAATATTTCAATATTTACGGTTTGCGAATTACCGCGCCTCAACTCATTCGACGTCCATGATTTTCAAGCTGCATATATTCTGAAATATTAGCTGAAATATTAGGAAAGTATTAGGCAAATATAATCGAATAGGAGCTAACAGTAACAGAAAATTACCGATCGTCGACAAGGCAGCAAACTATCGCTAAAGGTGGATTTTCAACGGTCGATAATTTACCGTAGGTGATATTTACTGTAGGTAATATTTTACTAGTTGTGCTACCTCCAACTTGATTATATTCGCCTAATAATTTCCTAATATTTCAGAATACGTTTCCAGCGAAGAACTTGACGTCAATCTCGACAATTAGTGAACTAATAATCAACAATAATAGTTTAAATTAAATATTTATTAAATTTATTTAATTTGATTCATTTACATATAATTAATTAATATAATATGCTGATATAATAAATTAAAAATAATGTATTAATTCAATTTTGTTTTCTCGCGAGGGAAAAAATACATTTTATACATATTCCATCGTTCGAATACCGGGTAATGTTGGGCAACTAAAAAACCTCTCATCCTTGGACGCTAATATTTGGTCTCTTGGAACTGTTTGCACAGTCATCTAGGAGGATTTATTTAATCAAATGTGATCTTAAAATTTTTAATATAACTGTAACTTTGAAGTCTTAAATCGTTGTTAATTTTTACATGTATGTACACATACATATATGCATTAAAATGCATGTATTTATATGAATTTATGTAAATATACCTATGATTATTTATGATAATTAAATATAAAAATAACATTTATGATTTAAAATTTAAATCTCTTTTATACGCTAGCGTTAATATATACATCACATTTTAACTTTTGAATACTTTATTTCTTATATTGTACGTTTTACATTAAAAGTATAATATCAAACTTTATCTCTCTCTCTTTAAATATATAAATATAAATTATTTATTAATAGTTTAATAAAATTTTCTTATTTTTAAGTGTTATAATAATATGATGAATAAATTTCTATATATTGTATATAGCTATTTTCAGTATAAATTTCAGTATAAATATATATATATATATATATATATATATATATATTTATACATATATTTAGAGAGAGAGAATATATAACTTGATACTTGTCTTGCATTCATATTTTAGCACTTACATGTCGATTCTGCTCTTCTGCTGCTCCCTCTCTATTCATATATAAGAGTTTAAAGATGGCTGCTACCTTGATGCTTAAGCAGACTATTAAATTAGGAAGATCTCTTTCGAGATCACTAAATATAAATTTGCAAAGGGAAAAATTAATTCGAGAACAATGCCAGCGACTTCCAGGTTTGTTAATCTTTTATTTTTGTTTCATGTTAGAACATTATCACATTTTTATCTTAAGGTTAGATTTGTGAGAGTACTGATTTTTATATTTTGTCTTAATAATTTTTCTATAATGTTTTTTGAAGTATATTTTTTAAATATTTTATGTTAAAAAGTATAAATTATTTTTATATAATTTTATAGTTATTTGCAATCATATAAGATATTGGTCATCTCAACCAGAAGCTCAAACTACAGAGTACCATAATATTATAAAAGATACAGAAAAATCTATAGGTGAGTAATGTATATAATAATTATATTTATTTTAAATAATTTATAGCAAAACATAATAGATGCAATATTTATTATGTCACAGGTGAAAGTGCAAAGCATGAATTTCAATCGGAAACACAAATGTTGCTACAGATTGTTGCAAAATCTTTATATTCCGACAAAGAGGTAATTACATATTGATTTCAGTAAGAAATATTTGACAATGATCTTAACAATTTACTTGTTTGTTTGTTTATTTAGGTATTTGTGCGAGAGCTTATTTCAAATGCTAGTGATGCATTAGAGAAATTACGTTATTTACGCTTAAGTGACAACGAAGCTGCGCAAGTAGCTGGTGATAGAAGTTTAGAAATACATATAGGCACTGATAAACAAAATCGTACTCTCACAATCCAAGATACTGGTGTAGGGATGACTAGAGAGGAACTAATATCCAATTTGGGAACTATAGCTCGATCAGGTTCTAAGGCAAGGATCATTAAGGGAGCACTTATTAATTTTTTTATTTTGATTATAATTCTTAAAATTGCAAAATCTTTATATTCAGACAAAAAAAAAAGAATTTTATTCATTTTGTTTTGCTCGAAATAAAAATTATATTATATTCATTTTATAGGCATTCTTGGAAAAGTTGAAAGGAGAACAAAACGCTAGTGATACTTCTAAAATTATTGGACAGTTTGGTGTTGGATTTTATAGTGCTTTCATGGTTGCTGACAAAGTGGAAGTCTTTACAAAATCTTTTGCAAGAGATGCAGAAGGCCTTTGTTGGACTTCAGATGGGTAAAAAAAATAAAATATTCTATACAAATTTAATATTATATCAGTGATATTAAAAATACAACATATATAGATCAGGTACATTTGAGATTTCAAATGCAGACGGAGTACAGCCAGGCACAAAAATTGTTATACACTTGAAACCAGATAACCGAGAATTCAGTGATGAGAATGTTATAAATCGTAAGTATATTAGTCATAAAATTATAAATATATATTTGTTGTTTTTACGCACCAAGAATAAAATTAATTTTTATATAATTAATTTTCTTAGGTGTTATCAATAAGTACAGTAATTTCGTTGGCAGTCCTATTTTTGTGAATGGAAAGAGGGCCAATACAATTCAGGTATCATTCTTAGCTTTATCATCTGCTGCATACTTTGTATTTGATATTATAAAATAACTATCTTTGCAGCCATTATGGATGTCTGATCCGAAAGATATCACGCCATTACAGCATGCAGAATTTTATCGATTTATAGGAAATTGTCTCGATGCGCCAAGATTTATATTGCATTATTCAACGGATGTGCCGCTGAGTATTAAGGCTCTATTATACTTTCCAGAAGAAAAACCTGGACTGTTTGATCTAGCGAGGGATACTACTAGCGGAGTGTCACTCTACAGCCGAAAAATTTTAATTAAAAGCAAAGCAGAAAATATCTTACCAAAATGGTTACGATTCATTAAAGGTGTAGTTGATTCGGAAGATATACCTTTAAATTTAAGTCGCGAACTACTGCAAAATAGTGCACTAATTGGGTAAGAATAAACGCTTTGTATGTCACATCATTGTTATGTATGATATGAAATTGTGTAATTTTTTCATAGGAAACTGCGAAATGTATTGACCGCACGTATATTAAAATTCTTACACGAGCGATCTACAAAAGAGCCAGAAGACTATAATGAATTTTATAAGGCTTATGGCTTGTTTTTAAAAGAGGGCATTGTCACCAGTACTGATCAATCTGAAAAGGTAACAATTGATTATATTCTCTGCGGGTATTTCATAAAATATAGCGATTTATCGTTTTCGTATTTAATCTAGGAGAACATAGGTAAACTTTTGCGATTTGAATCTTCTACTGCTGCTCCAGGAGAATTGGTCAGTCTGCCACAATATTGCAGTCGTTTAGCGAAAGATCAAAAAGATATATATTACTTGTCGGCACCGAGGTATATATAATTAAAACATGAATAACTCTAGTAACATTCTAATATAATCTGCAAAATTCATATTTATGTTATAGTCGGGCTTTAGCCGAACAGTCACCGTATTATGAATCTTTAAAAAAACGAAACATTGAGGTACTATTTTGTTACGAACCATATGATGAATTAGTATTGATGCATCTGAAACAGTATAAATCTAATTTTTTGACTTCTGTGGAGAAAGAAATGCGAGATGATACAGAGGCAAATAAACCAGAAAATCTAGGTATGTAACAAGTATTGTACTTGTGTGTGTGTAAATTATTTTGAATTTATCTAATTATGAGAGAACACTCTTTTTATCTCTTTTCAACAGGTATTATAAATAAGGATGAATTGGATAATCTTGTTATTTACATGAAAAAGATTCTTGATAAAAAAGCATACGACATTAAAATGACGAATCGGTTGGAATCACATCCTTGTGTTGTAACTGTACAAGATATGGCAACCGCAAGGCATTTTATTCGTACGCAAAGCCATCAAATGAATGAAGAAATGCGGTATTCTATTCTTCAACCGCGTTTTGAAATAAATCCAAATCATCCTCTTATCAAAAAGTTATGTAAACTGACTACTACAGATACCGAATTAGCCGATCGTCTAATACAACAGGTACATTGCATTAATAATATATTACAATCCTTTTTGAAACTGCACATTCAAAAAATATGTGAAGTTATATATTTATTTATGCACTTAAAATTTTTTAATGCTGCAGTTATTTACCGGTGCTATGGTTGGAGCTGGTCTAATTGAGGATCCACGCATTTTATTGACTCCAATGAATGAATTACTTACGTTAGCATTGCAAAAATATTAATAATTGATTTTTGTATTAGAGGAAAGGATCATATCGATACCTCGAAAACATGAACAGCCAACATTGTTCTATGACTTGGAAGTAAAAGAATATTTTCCTTTGTATATCTCTTTATAAGTATAAACATTTCTTTCTTCCATATCACAGAAGAACGTCGAATGTCCTAAGATATCGTAATAAAGTACCAATAAATTATTTTATTATTCAATAATAAGATCGATAATTGTAAAATAAAGAGGTATAACTTATTATAGGCAAGATTGGTTTCTTTATTACAATAGGTTGATCTTGTACAAATTAATTATAGCCTTACAATAATAACAAGTCAAGTTCCTCAGTTTCTTGAATGATATCGATATGTATTCTATTAGCAGGGCTAGGAGTGTTATGGCGAATTTAGAAATTGTACCCATATTTTTCCATGTTTTTCTTTCACAATCTGTTTTTATAAAAACTTTTTCACTTCAACTGTTTAAAAGAAAGTGAAACAATAAATGGCAAGCAATAAATAATTTTGTAAAGTTATTTTATAAAATATATGAATTCAATAAAATTATTCATAATCTTATATTCATTCCAGTCTCTTTGTGATTTTTTTTCGACAACATAATTCATAAATAGAAGTAGTAGACTCGAAGTAATAATATAGAAAATTATATATATATATATATATATATATATATATATATATATAAATTATTTATACATCTTGAATTCATATTTTATCGCATTTACTGTTCTTAATTCACTGGTTGGAAGATGATTATGAAAGATGGATTTCTGCGATGTTTGTAGATTACTAAATAATGTGTACACTATAAAAAGTCCTCTGTCACATTCACATTTTCTACTTTACAGTCTTTGACCAATGTGCTTCATTTTTTTTAAATAAAACTAATCTCTAAATGTGTGTTATATAAGCTTTATCTGTGCTTCATATTACTGTCTGAAATTTTATATCGCTTGTCGAAATCAAATCTGTGCTCTCTATCTATATCATTCTTACTCTTTTTTTTTGTATATTATTTTTTGTATATTATTTTTTGTATATTATTTTAAATAAAATAAAAATCATCAAAAATTTATAGTGCATAGGTGTTAACATTGTAATATGTTAAAATTTCAGAAAGTAGAAGCACAGTTGATTTTAACTTATACAAGGACGAGAGATGCGATGCTTTTGTTCTTGGTCAACGTAAAAATCACCCTGTTTAGCATTATTATTAATGTGATTCGCTAATATATCCTACGAGTAGGATAGCTGGCGTCCTTTACAGAATAGGAACATAAAATCGAATTTCTCAACAGAATTCTACGCGCGTATATAAAAAAATATATATATTATATTATACCTCACCCAAATTAAAAGCTGCCACTATATAATATCCATTAATGAAAGATACTCTAAATGGAAGTGACAATGAGTAAAAAACCTTAGATATAATAGATTGCTCCTTGATTCTTCTATCTCTTTTATACAAATTAATCGAAGGAAATATATTGTTTATATGGCATTACGAATTAATTGGCAGTTTAAAAAGTATTTCATTATACATTATATAGACAAGTCTCTATGATGAAGAACGATATATGAAATGCGAATGGCAGATTGGTAAAGAGCGCGATGAATATAGATAAGTGAATATCTCGCGCTGCTGAGCAGTCTTATTAAAGAGTGGATAAAGCGTGATGTAAGTAGTAGCACCATGTATGCAGATTTGTATCGACCGTATTGATGGTGACTAACGAATGAAGAGATAGAAAAGAAAGAGTTAAATAAACGGAACGTTGACTTAGCTTACATATACGCAGACGAGAAAACATCGTCTCTTCCATCGCTCTCTCATCTTTCTTCTTTTTTTCAAGTTTCAATCATAAACATATAAAACATATAGACATAGCATTAGCTGCCGATGGGCAAAATGGGACCCAAAATGGGAATACTTTTGACATTAGGGAAATAAGTCGTAAACTATTACTGACTTTATATATCTTATGCTTATGTAGATGGCATGTTCTACATACTGAGCGTTACTTATGTATGTTTCGAGCCGCGTCACGACGGAATTACCAGAAATATTATCAAGTCAGTATAAATTGCTATTAATTTTTCCCTTATTGGAAATCTTAGTTTTCCCTTTGAAAAGGCCATAAGAGTGGCGAATGGCTAAGGCGACAAAGTGTTTAAGTGTTATAAAGGATCTCGAGTTTAAATCATAAAAATTTACAGCATGAAAATTTTCCTGCAATATAGCTACCCTACCTACCTCCTTCATATCCTTTCCCACCCACTTCCCCACAATCTTGTTGTACTTCTGATTTGAGAAATTTTATTCTATATTAATCGTTATACTTTAATATACGGTCGGAATGACCCCTATGGGAGTCAGCGTTGGCCGATAAAATTAAAGACAGAAAAAGAAGAAAAAGGCTCCGTCTATTAATTTTATATGCTTATGATTTTAGTTATAAAACGTTGGATAATTAACATTGTAATTATTATGATACAAGTCATATAATATTTGATCATCGTATAAACATTATTATCATCACAGTAAAAATATTTCATTATATCTTTTAACTATTAACCTGCGCCTCTCTTAGTGCACTAGACGCGCGCAGTAGCCACGCACATCGCTCCGTGAGGCAGGCTGTTTTTTTCACTAAAGTCCATTTACTTACACACTAATACGCTACTTTTAATATATAGATATTTATATATTATTAAGTAGTCCGTCGGTTCATTTATACGTAACCAAAATAAAGTCAGTTAGCAAATAGTAAAAATACATAAATGTGCCTATGTATCTTTTGCACTTGGAATTATATAATTGTTGGATTAACATGTTAAATTTAAATGATAGATCATTAAACAATAGTCATTGGTCTGACGACATGGTCGCGATTAACTTTACGTTTTTTTTTTTCGAGTAATGAAAATTTCCCACTCCTTAATTAAGATCATTTTTTACACATACATATATATACATACATACATACATATATATATATATATATATATATATGTATATATATATATATATATATGATATATGTGCTCGTAGAATTGCCCTAAACTCTATTTTTCTTCAATAAATCTCATCTCCTTGGTAGAGTCGAAAGGAATATTACCGTGTTACGTGAAAATGAAATAAAAATAACGCATGACGTTTAGCATCACCCAATACATAATGCATAATTTTTGATTAACCAAACAATGGATGTATACAACATTTTGCAACTAGAAGAGAAAATATTGTGGCTTGAGAGTAGAAACGAAAAAAAAACATACGATCATTAATGTTTAGATATCTACTTTTCTACTACCAAGTCATAAAAAATAACGTCTCATTGATCATGATCATTCTACATTCTTCCACAAAATATTTAAAAATATATTACTATAACAAATGTATATATATATATGACGTGTATCTCTGCTAATATGATAAAATCAAAATAAAGTGAATAAAATAAAAATCAGATTCTCATCCCTTTCGGTATGACGTAATGCACGCACTGCTAGCGACTGTAAAATGTATAACGACTATGCGCGATTAATTTGCAGGATTAAGTACGCTGATGCTTGAACTCTACCTTTATGAGAGGAGATTTTTCAGGCGTGATATATTTTCGCGACGATATATTATACGTGTGTCGAAATACGTCGCGTCGATTTCGCTCGCGCACACTGGTTCCTTATTTCATAGAGCTGCCTGTACAGACCGTCTTATCTTATCTCTCGGCGATATAACATTTATGTACAAAATTGCATATTCACAGACATCCGCGTGTCTCGATCGCAGAAGCACAGAGAAACACGCTCCCGCACGCTTAAGTCTATCCTCGTCCAACTTCGTTTGTCACACCGAGGTCTGCGTGATGCCGTTCCCCGACAGCCACAAGCGCCCGTTGCTCTTCTGATCCGCGATCTCGTACTCGGAATCGTCGATCTCGCACAGATTCGTAGAGAGATCACTGTTGCTCGTGGCACCGCCCAATAGCGAGTTTCTTTCCTCCAACGTGGTGATGACAGAGCCGATATCGTCGTCCTCGACCACCTTGTGGCATCGGTTACGGTTGCGGGTGCTTGGAAAACCATAAGGCACTACATCGTCTTCCTCTTCGTCGGACTCGAGAGTGCTGAGACGACCGTTGAGCGGATTCGTCTCGTTCTCGGTGTCAGTATGAATATTATAATGCGGTAGATACGAATTCGGATGACGTAAATAGGTTTCAGAGCTCTTGTATTTGTACTCCCCTTCGCCGCCGCTGTCGAGGGGATTGAGACGTTGCGTTTCCGCGCAGTGATATTGCTCCGAGAACTCGGTCCCGCATTCGGAATCGCCGACATATTCCGACTCCTGATCCTCGTTCAGGGTCTCGATGTCCCTCGTTGGATCTACCGGACCGTGTACTATAATAGAATTGAAGTATTACATTTCTATAAGTCTATATTGAGTAAAATCTATATTAAGTAAAATAATAAAAGATTATTTTAAATAATATATAACACTATATTAAATAATAAAATAGTAAAATAATTGCGACAATTACACATTGTTAGTAAAATATCAAAAATTGGCATGAAAAATGTACAATCGTTACATTATATTACATTTTTTGCCATGCATAAGAATTAATATAAATGATTAATTGGATTAATGGTATTAATCTGTATTATTCTCTTAATTTTGTCATATACATATAAATGTATAAATTTTGAAATCACTCTCTCTCTCTCTCTCTCTCTCTCTCTCTCTCTCTCTCTCTCTCTCTCTCTCTCTCTTTCGATAGGCTGAGTAATAAAGTTGTTACATTTATTGCAATAATCTAATATGTGTGTAAGTTTGTTATCAAACTTACATAAAATCCAATGTGCTTGTGCAATATCAGTATTATTAAAATTAGTGAACACATCAATGTTATGCAAATCATGCTGATATAAGAAAAATAGAATCGATGTACATGCACTTCTATACTTACTTGTTGGTAACTGATGAGTATTGGATTCATTACTCTCATTACTGTGAAAACTGGATGAGTCCGGTACCTCGCTGCCGGGTACCTCCGTGATGTTAGGTAAAGGATTCTGACTTCGTCTGACCCAGTCTGAGCAGTCCCAGTGATACCCTAAAAGCATTGTAGACAACGACTGTACTCTGACACGCTACATGCGATGCAGCATAGTGTTGTGCAGTAAAGAGATAGGCAGGACAAATAGTAGCATTCAATTGGAAACAGATAGTGCAAGCGAAGAAGCGAGACTCTACGGACGTATATACCGAATGTCCGAGAAATGGTGCACATTTAACTATAGAATTTTTGAAATTTGATTGTAGAAACACACGATCAAAATCAATTATTTAAAAAAGAATGTTTATTTTTACCATTTTTTTTAAGTATTAATTTGCATCTTGTACGCACAAATTCAAGTAGTAAAATTTAAATCAAGTTAGATCGTTTTAGTCTGAAGTGCGATATTCAAAGGACATTCTGTATCTTCACGTGATCAATACGAGCGGGCAAGTCTCAACTTACCACCGACGATGCGGGGATCATCCTCGATGGACGTGACGGAGACGACGGAAGATCCAACCGCATGAGGCGCCCGTCGAGAGGAGTTTAGTAGAAGTCCTCCAGTGGTCAGCTCTGGTACCACTGGGCTCGCTCGTTTCAGGTCTGTTAGTACACACAATACGAAATACGCAGGTGTTAATAGAATAATTCGCTACACGCCCAATCGAGTCAGAGCACGCAATACAAAGAGATCGCGATAGGAAAGATGAGAAAGAGAGAAAGACAGAGGAAGAGAAAGCCGAGAGTAAGTAAAAATTTGAGAATGAGATTCGTGAGCAATGATGAGAAGGGGGAAGACGCCTATCTAGTGCTCCCACCCCTTACGATCGCATGCCGCAAGCGAAATCAAAATTAACAAGCTATCGAATGGAGTTGGGAGAAATTGTTCTTTTTCTTTCTCTTTCATTGACGCTTACCGTTCTTGATCTTGGTGGTGTCAGTTATGAAGGAAGCTAGCTGCATCTGCTCTTGCCAAGTGGGCTTGTGGAGACTGTCCGTGTCGCTGCCAGCTGCGTTTCCACTGACCGGATTAGCGAGGGTCAAGGACGGGGGTGGTACGGGGGTGCTGCGATTCAAGTTTCGCAGGTAATCCGGCGGAAAGTTCTCTAGCTCGTCGCCCGCGCTACCGTAGCTGCGCAGGGTGTCCAAGTTATTTAGAGCCACCGCCGCCGAGTTACCATACGCGACTGGTTCGTTGTTCGAGCTTGGGGTGTAGGAGGCGGGTCTGGGAGGGCATTGGGGAGGTTCTCTCTGTAAAAAGAAGAATCACAAAGACCTTAAACAGGATCGCCGCAGGGAGGGATTGTATCGTGTCGGCAAATCGATGATCGCAAACCAAAAATAAAACAGCGTCGTTTACTAAACAGATCGATTACTAAAACAGCGCAGAGATGAACCTGAAGGCATTATATCTCAATCGTAAGTAAAACTACTAGACAAAAGAGTATTGCGGGAAAATCTCGCTCGAGTTCCTTTACGTCGATACTGAAATAATGCCTTCTGAAAATGAATTTATGTTATAGCCCTTGAGAGTTCATGCTTTTATACTGTGCACGATAACTAAGATAATATCCAATCATCTAAACATAGTACCTGTATGACTTCTAGATTGCTTAATTTTGAACTGCGTTTGAACTCGTGCTCGTGCGGCCTCGCGGAATTCAGGACAATCTGCTTCCGCGTCTCGTTGTTGATGTTATTGGCGCGCGCTCTAGTCCGCTTCATTCTGATCCGTCGAAAAGCGACGAATATGATGATGAGGAATATGTTGAGTAATACCGCGACGCCGATCCACATGAGATGCTCCCACGTGATGTTAAAGTGGCTGGATATGATGGGCGTGGAGAAAGCCGGATTGCCACAGTTCAAGCCGGTCATATTCGGTGGACAGATGCATCGATACGTGCCGATCTCGTTGATACAGGTGCCGCCGTTCGTGCAGGGGTTCGTGTCGCATTCGTCGACGTCGGTCTCGCAATGTTCACCGGTGAAACCTTGACACTTGCAGATAGGACCGTTGTTACCTTCCTCGCACACGCCACCGTGGATGCATGGATTCGGATTACAGTATCTGCCGTACTCGCAGCGTTTGCCGCTGAGATTCGGTCCAACGCACTCGCAGACGTAATCGCCATCCTCCGGCACAATCTTACAACGACCGCCGTAAAGACAAGGCGACGAGGCACATGGATCCGTGTCGATCTCGCAGGCGAAACCGGTAAACCGATTGTGACAGTGGCACTCGTAGCTGTCACTGCCCACGTCCTTGCAAGTACCGCCATTCTGACAGGGCTGCGATCCACAAACACCCGGTGGCATCAGAATGGTCGCCGTATCGCAGCTGAATTTAACCTGTCCTTTGAAGCCCTTGAATATCGCGACGCTGCTGGCTCCGCTCATGTGCAACGGCACGGATACCCGGGCAATTCTGACATCGTCCATGCAACCAATAAAACCGCGTTGCACATCCTCAAAACCGATGATAGATGGGTGCTGTCGTACCTCGGCGCCCAGATATAAATCATCCGACTGTAGATTTAGAATGTCGTTCATACCAGGTGCAGCACCGTGAGCGATGTGTTTACCATCGACGGTGAGTCGAGCGCCGTTGCTTTCTCGTTCCAAAAGAATCTCATGCCACTGTCCGTCGCTCACGTATACGCTGCTCACCCTGACTAGCCCCTCGCCGCTACCTAAATCGAATTTGTATTGCACGACACCATTAACGATCTCTAGGATATTGTAGTCTACCTTGCCAGCCGCGTACATTAGATTGCCGGTAGGCTGCACCGTTCGGATTCTCAAGGATAGGCTTAAGCGATCTTCAATCGTTTGCCGTATCAGCGCCTTGTCGATTCTATAATGCGCATAACTCTTGCCACTGAAAGATATGGGATTACGCGGAAAATAGCATGATTCGTCGTGACACTTGGAGATGTCAATGTCGCAGATCTGGCCGGCGAATCCCTCAGGGCATTGGCAGGAATATCCTTGCACGGACGAGTCGGGCACGCAGACTTTGAACAAGGGACAAGGATCCCTAGCACATTCGTTAACTATTACTTCGCAATGATTGCCGGCGTAACCTTCCTTGCAATTGCATTCCGTTTTGTATTTGTGACGTGGCGATACGAAACTCATTACATCAGTGGACACGGGCGTGATTTGCGTGGGATCAAGAGTGATCTTGTCTTGGCAGTCGCCGTAGAAGCAGGAACCTTTGTTGCACTTTGAACGAACGATCTCCTCGACCACCAATTTCGTCGATTCTTCCAGCTCTTCGACATGTTGATTCAGTGCCTCGCGTATGCTTTCCGAAGCGTAGAAGCCCAACGAACCTATGGGACTCGCTGCCTTCTTCACGGCAAACAGAAGATCGAGATCGTTGTGCACCGCCTGGCGAATCGCCCGCGATTTGATTAGATTCGCCTCGTCAATCGATGGTTGCACACTGATAATGATGATGTCTTTAAGTCGACAATTCATCGCATTGCGAACGGTCCTAACAAAGCCTTTGCGATGGCTCAGCATGAAATCTTCCGGGCTAACCTCGCGGAATCTTACAATCACTGAATTCTCGAGCATCTTATCGGTCACCAGATCGACGGTAACTTTCGCAATAGAGTATGAATGAAATTTACCATCCGTTACGCTGACATTTATCCTATACTCGCCGACATCGAGTCTAGGTAAGGCCACCAATGTGCCGTCGATCTTGTCTATTTCGAAGAGATTGGTACTTGGAATTGGCGAAGATGGTACCAAATTAAAGAGTAGCGTGTCGTACTGATCTTGATCAGTCGCGTGAATTTTTCCGATGATACCACCGGGATACTCGTCCATGTAAGAATTGACAATTACCTCGAGAGGTGTGATTACCGGTGGATACTGCGACTCCTCAATCACCTTGATTACGACCCACGCGTCCGAGTACAAAGGCGGGCTGCCATTATCAAACACTCTAACGTGCAGTACGTATTTATCCTTTACTCTATTATTGAACTTCGTCGCCGTTCGCAGAGTACCGTCCTGTTCCAGTCGGAAAGCGTCACCCTCGTTTCCGGAGCGAAAATCAAAGGTGTATGGCTCGGCGTTCGGTTCAATGTCCGCGTCGGTGACCATGAATTGTAGAACCGTGTGACCAAGTGGTTTATCTTCCTGCACTATAGCGGTGTAATTCGGCAGAGAAAACAATGGTGGATTGTCATTCGCATCTAGAATCTCGATATTCACCATTACGAAGCTCGAAAGCATCGGTATACCGTTGTCACGCGCGTGAACTTCCAATACGTAACTCGCGATCTAGGAGAGAAAGTATAATATATAACAAAATGTTTTGATTAGATTTATGTAGTGTATTTGATACTAACTTCCTCTCGATCCAATGGCGCAGCAACAATTATTTGTCCAGTTTTTCTGTCAATAGAGAATTGCTTCTGTCTGTCGCCCCGTTCTATATAATACGATATGTTGCCGTTCTCTTCGCTGTCCAAATCGTTCGCGTATACCTAAAAAACATTAAAACAATAAAACATAAAATCTTAATATGTAAGAAATATCGCTTCACTTATGCATGAAGTACTTTCTATTTTATTAATTATTCATATTTTTATTATTGTGAATAATCACATTACATATAAAATCATTGTAACAGAAAATATACGAAACTCACTTGCGTAACTTTCTCCCCGATTTTTGCGTCTTCCCTCACGAAAGCCCTGTATGAGACCTCGCTAAAGATCGGCGCGTTGTCGTTGCTGTCAGTGACAGTGATGTTGACAGTAGCGTGATTACTCAGCGGTGGAATGCCTCCGTCGACAGCTTGAATAGTGAGAAAATAATCGCGAGCTCGTTCATAGTCCAATTGTTCGGCAATGATTATAACGCCCGTTTTGGCGTTTATTTGGAATTTCTTGTGTTCGTTACCACCGACAATCGAATAATATATGTCGGCATTAATTCCCGTATCTTTTGATGTAGCGAGTACGCGAGCCACCTCGGTACCGATCGCATAGATCTCAGGCACTTTCGCAAAATAGATCTTGGAGGCAAACTCAGGTGGATTGTCATTGATGTCCTGTACGTTAACGATAAGCGAGGCAATGCCCATCAGCTGTGGAGTGCCCTGATCAAGCGCTTGAATAGTCACATTATACATGGCCTTGGTTTCTCTGTCTAATGGTTTGGCCAGCGTGACTATCCCGCTATCCGCCGCGATAAGAAAGTGGCCGTCCGCTGAATCGATAAACTCGTATCTGATTTTCCGATTAATACCGATATCGTCATCTGTAGCGTGTACCTTTGTCACTAGCGTACCGACTTCCACATCCTCGGGCAAAGTGCTGCTGTATGTTTGCATAGTGAATTTCGGCGCATTATCATTGAGATCGGAAACGAGAATTTCCAACTGCGATGAACATTCCCAGGTTGGTTTGTCTCGATCCTGCACATGAGCCATCAGGGAATATTTGGCTTGAGTCTCGCGATCGAGCTGTCCGACGGTTTTCAACACGCCCGTTTCCCTATCCAACGAGAATTTGTCATTATTGTCACCGGTTAAATAGAATCGTAGCTTAGCGTTCGGCTCGTCGTCGTAATCGGTGGCCAATACAGTCAGAACATAGGCGCCAGGATGCGAGCCTTCGGAAAGTATCTCTCTGTAACGATACCGCAGACAATACGGCGGATTATCATTGACGTCTAAAACTTGCACCGTCACTTTCGTCTCGAAGACGTATTTTCCATCAGTACCGATAATCTCAAGCTCGTAACGATCGATGGTTTCTCTGTCCAAGGATTTCGCCACATACACTTCACCGGTAGATCTGATTTGAAACTGTGATCTAGGATCACCGGACGTTATGTAAAATTCTATCGGCGTATTGACGTCTGAATCTTTATCGATTGTGATCAACTTCACCACAACCGTTCCCGGTAGAGCATTCTCGTTTACCGTGGCCTCGTAACGATCATCGACAAATGCGGGCGCGTTATCGTTATAATCCTTTAGCTTGACGTGTACCGATGTCCTCGCAAAGTGTTTCGGATTTCCATTGTCAGTGGCAACCACCTGAAAAGAAAATTATTACGTGATTATCTGAGATAAATATATTCAGATAGCAAATTATTCAAAATATTTAATATTGTATTTACCTGAAATTTATATTCTGGTTGCTTCTCCTTATCGAGTTGCACCAATGTCGATATCCAACCGGTATAGGCGTCTACCGCAAAAACATTTGCTAGTTCCCCTATGTCCGAACCAAACGAGTAACGCACCTCGCCATTACTACCGAGATCCTTATCATGCGCGATAACTTTTAATATAGACGTTCCCTCCTCGATGTTCTCGGCCAAGCTAATCGCATACGGATTACTCTCAAATTTCGGCGCATGATCATTTTCGTCCAATACTTGAAGAGAGATCTCGGCGAGAGCCGTGAGTGGCGGACTGGAATCGGTCTCAGCGAGAACACCGATCAAATGATTATCTTTCAATTCTCGGTCCAATGGTCTTGCCAACGTAATCTGACCGTGAGAATCAATCGTAAAGAGCGGATTATTCTCATCACCTGACACTATGCGATACGTCACAGTACTGTTAGTGACGGTTTTAAGTTTCGTGATCGGCGTGCCGACAGAAGAATCTTCCCTTATAAAGAATTTATCTTCTTTTCGCTCAAACAGAGGAGCAATATCATGAGGACCCATTATATAGATGCTGAGTGGTACATCGGCGTGATGTGTAATTGTACCTCTATCTTCTGCACGAATAAAGAGCTCGAACAATTGATTTTCTGAAAATAATGAATATTCATTTTTCACATTGAAAAAATTTTCAAGATGAATATATTCATTCATACATTCTATCTACAATGTAAAAATGCAATGCAATATTTCTACTTACCCCACGGCACAGCGCTTTTCTGCAAATAGAGTGATCCTGTGTCGGGGTTTATACCGAACAGAGACTTAGCTGGTGACGTTTGCAAATCATAGATGGAATAAGTAATCTTAGCCGCTTCGTCCTCGTCCGCGTCTTGCGCTTTAACTTTCAGGAATGATGTATTTATGGACAAGTTGCCTTGAATAGTCGCTTTGTACTCTCTAAGAAGAAATACCGGCGAATTGTCATTCTCGTCGCCGACCTTCACACGCACCATCACGAATCCAGATCTACCGCCACCGTCCATCGCCATGACCGGTATTTCATAACGTTTTTGCTCTTCTCGATCAAGCTTCTTTCGGGTCACAATTTCGCCAGTGATTTTATTTATGTCGAATACTTCCTTCATCATTTCCGACATTATCATGTACGTAATCGCGCCGTATTCGCCAAAATCTTCATCCTCGGCCAATACGCTAGTGACCAATCTTCCGGGTAACTGGTTCTCCAAAACAGTCACTTCAACTACCGGATTCGGAAATTTCGGATTGTGTCTATTTGCTGGCAAGATCTCGATCTTGACACGGGTGAAGCTGGTATAGACACCATCGGTGACGGATACATTGAGCATGCTAAGCTTCTGTTCGCCAAAGTTCTGCATGTTTATCAATGAGATGACACCGGTCGACTGACCGATGTTGTATGTTTGCTGTTCGTTACCACCCACGATGGTATATGTCAGTTTCTCGTCGACGTAATCCGGATCGCTAGCTGATACCACTGTCACGAATTGACCGCGTTCGGCGTGCTCCGACAGAGAACAAGTGTACGAGGGTTGCTCGAACTTCGGCGGATTGTCGTTCATGTCGATTACGCTCACCCAGACATGCGCCGTGCTTGACAAACTTGGGACGCCGCGATCCATGGCGATCACCGTGAAGTGATGAGATTCGTGAGTTTCATGATCTAAGGATTGCTTGAGAAATATCACACCCTCATCAGCATCGATGTGGAAGAGATCCGTGCTGTTCTCCGTGTCGTTTTGAATGGCATAACGAACTTGTTGATTTATACCTGTGAGAAGATGAGTACGCTCTTAGTATTTTTTCTAAATTTTATCTATATAAATCTAGAAGAGAGAGAGAGAGATAATTCGATGATTTAACGTGAAGTTTAAATTTAATTTTACCTGTGTCATTGTCCCTTGAACTAACTCGTAGGACGGAAGTACCGAACGGCGCTGCTTCCGATATCGAGATGTTGTAAGAATCTTGCGTAAATTCAGGCGGGCAGTCATTTACGTCCAAAACGAGAATGCTGACAAGCACCTCGGCGTAAACGCCTGACACACTGTCGGTGGCGCGTACGGTCAGTTCATACTGCTTCTTTTGTTCATAATCCAGCTCATCCACCACATAGATTACACCTGATTTATACGAAGAGAAAATTGTAGACCCATAAAGCACTATGCAGCAAAGTGTCTACACATCCGTCGAATGTTTTCTACGCCAAGCGTTTTCCTTAAGAATGATGAAAAGTGAATGCGAAATCAATCTACAATAATTTATCAACATCTGATTTTTATATTATTGCTATTTTTATTTTGCAATCATTTAGGACGATAAATTCAAGGGATCGTCATAAAAATTAATGTCACGACATTTCTGTAAATCCAACGGATTCGTAGACACTGGAAGATAATGACAGTCACGTTTATATAAAAAAGATCGAGAAATCCCGTAAATAATTTGCCAATGCTATTGTAACATGTGCCTGCACCTTTCAAGAGATAAAAATTGACATTGTGATTGTTACCGATATCGCAATTTTGTGTTATCAAGTCTTTCTAAATTTAAATAATCCAGAAAATAGGATGGAGATAACGGCGGTCCGCCTTATGTAAGGTGCAAGCACGTCATGCGAGCAGATTGAAGCTATTGAAATCTCGTGAAGAAAATGAGAAAATGGGTGGGCCGCGTACGTTCACATCCAGGCGAAATATTTATGATGTGTCTGGAGCGGCCTCGGATCGTGGAACGATATAGTGCGTGTAAGCAGCTATTGTGCTCCAAGCCGGTTTCGTGTGGTTCCATCGCGATTACAATTTAACGAGACCCGCCCAGATTACGATCGTAGAAAAACGGGAAGTAAGAACAAAATTAATTTTGTGGAATGGTATATACGACAAAAGCGGATTACAGAAGAGAGGAGAGAAAGAGGAGGGATGATATCATCAAAAGAGCAGATATTATAATTATTTTTTAAACTTTTTTGTCTTCGTGAAAGAGGATATTAATTTCCAAGTGAATACATGCAACAAGCTTCTATCATAAGCTGGCAATCATAGCTAGCAATCAAGCATTTAATGTTACTTTCACTACGTCACTAGTATCATGCATCGTGATTAATAAATCTAATTTAATGTTGCGAATAATAGATTATCGAGTAAGATTATTTGAGAGAGTGAAGAGGAATTAAAAAACGTGGAAAAATGAACATGCCAAACTTGGAAAATGTGAAATGCATCTTATGCAAATTTCAGAAACAATAAATCGCGTCATGTCTGTTATGTTAGTTGCATCTAATTTAAGATAAATGACAGTTCTCGCGTATATAAATGACATATATTTTACATATATATTAAAAGAGAGATATTAATAAACAGTACGTGTCAGTTATATGTTGTTATGGTAATTGTATAAGATAATTGAATAATTTGCATCGATCAAAATATTAATTGGAAATGCAATCAAGCACTGCAGAAAACTGCAGAATCGATAAACTTATATATATATTTTGAATTATTAATTAACAATTTCTCTCTCTCTAATTGTAAAACTTTGATTTTATATTATGCATGACAATAAGAATCTTAATCTTTTTAAATGTGAATCGAAAAGTTGTTTGATTTCTTTCTTTAAGAATTTATAAGAGATTTCCACTATTATACAAATGTACAAAATGAATTAAGAGTTTTTGAATTAAAAAGCGAGAAATTTAAATTGGAAGCTCCATATTGCATTCAATGTTATTAAGTCGAAGCGCACTTTCGATTTAGTTATTGAATCTCAGATTTATCCAAGTTCAATTTCGTCGCTCGCGCATTCTCTCAAATCCGTTCAACCCAACTGGAGCAATTTGCCTATGATATTACGTCGTGCATGAACACAGAGCCGGTGTGCAACATAGCATAGCAACAGTACAGACCGATAGAACTAGAATTTTCATTTTATACTCACAAGGACCATTGTTACTGTCAGGGGCTGCGAAAACAGGGAGATATAACAAAACTTTAATTTCTAGTTTCCAGACAAGCAGTTGTAAGAGATACATATAGGACAAATATTATGATTCTAACTGAATGATTTATGAGTAATAAATACGTATAAATATACGAGCAACTACTACAAAAGTACATAATTGGAAAATATATTTACTATAGTAGAAAACCAGAAAAAAATTATAAAAATAAAAAAAGAATACATAATAAGATAAAATGTAGAATCGGCGCTAAACATGTTTGATAAAATCGTGAACATAAACGATTTTTCAAATTAAAATTATGATAGATTTATATTATTCATTTTTCTCGACTTCCCTATTTTCTCTTAATCAATTATATCGTTATGCGATTAGAACTTAGTAACCAACTACCATAATACAGCAAAACTGATAGTTTACTAAAATATAGCCAAACCAGCAATATATCATAAGAAATTCTATGATTTGAACAGTGTAAGTCCCATAGCCAAGTTATGAAATAAAAACGGGAATGTTTAACCGAGATCCGAGGAAATATTCATTTTAACATAGTTTTCACGTATTTTTAATTAAAAAGATTTTGATATAATAATAGATGCGTATATATGTTATTTTTATTGATTAATAAATTTTTCAAATAAATTGGTGTTTTATGAAATTTTTTGCTACACAAATAAAAAATAATTGTATCGCCAATTCTTATACGTTTCTACCATTTTTCACTGTATCATATCATTTTTACAACGTTACGCTATACGTCATACGAAATTATTTTCTAACGTAAAATTCACGTTTGTCATCCGATAACACACATGCCAAGAGATTTATATCGCACATTTTACTTACCCGTGTTGAAATCCAGGGCAAACTCCTCAAAATCATTGCCCTTAGTAATGCTGTATATGAGTTTGCGATTCAAAGGTGACTCAGCTTGAATGGATAACGCCAGGGGTGAATGTACTTCTATACTCTCCAGCACGCTATCCGTGTAGAATTGCTTGTCAAATACCGGCATCGAGCGATCTATCACCTTCACGTTGACTGGCACTTCAATGGAGCATGGCGTTATTCCTGCAATCATATTTAGAAGCTCATTTGAAACGAGATCAAGTGGAAAGCGCGAATGTGAATTGACTTTGTGTTCTAACGAACTTACCGCCGTCGTACGCGGCGATTGTAAGCTGATACTCGCGATTGTGACCTTCGAGATTTTGCTTCAACGATATCTCGCCCGTCTTTCGGCACACCTTAAATAGTTCCCCGTGACCTTTCTTCAATTCGTATCTCACCTCGCCGTTATCGCCGCTATCCATGTCTATCGCGTGAACCTGAACGGCAAGAATAAATTGTTTAAAATTTGCATATGTAAGAATCGAAATGGAAAATAAATTGAAACGCAAAAATCTAAATCATGTATTAAGCATGCACTAGAAGTCACGTATTAAAAAGCACTCTACCTTCGTAATGACTTCGCCTTTTTGAGCATCGACGGACACAACAGCGTAATAAGGTAGATTAACAAACATCGGGCAGTTATCGTTGATGTCGAGTATAGTGACGTTCACTATAACGTGAGCCACTCTCGGCTTCTCCTGATCCGGTGGATGACTCTTCGCCTCGACGATTAATTCGTAATGATCGCACACCTCCCGATCGAATCGTACGCCGGTGGTTCTGATCGCGCCGGAAGTCGGTCCGATTACGAACATGTCGGTGGGATTAAGAATGCTGAAGACAATGTGCTCGTTCAACGAGCTACCGAGGACATTTACCACTACCACGGTCGTAATTTTCGTGGAATTCTCCAGGATGGCACCCTCGTACACGCTCTTCTGGAAGATCAAACCGGAATTCTCCGACTTCTCCACCATCACGTTCACCTGCGCCACGCTCGAGTACTTGCCATCTGACACTCGCACGTGAAGAAGATAGCTTCTCTTCATACGCTCGGGATTATGGACTGTAATAATGCCGCTTTGAGCATCTATATTGAAGGTATGAGCCTTGTTCCCGTCAATGATGTCGTACCTGTAACAAATATTAAATGCGTCATCTGTAAAAATTAAGCCATAGATACCATTATGTCGCGACAATATTAAAACTCTCATTTATAAGGTAATTAATAATTGAAGAATTATTTACAAATATTTAAATGATTTAAATTTCATTTTTTATGTAAAAATTGTACAGGAAATATATCAAGATTATGAAGCGTAAATTAAGTATCTGCATTCAATGATAAATATGAATAAGAACTAAAAAAATGTATAGATATTGTTGCAATACATACCTCAACGAGGTTCCCTCGGAACTATCGGGATCCACGGCGTTCACTCGAATGACAGCGACATTTTTGTATGTCGGCGTCAGAAGCGTGACGTTGTAATCAGTTTTGGAGAATTTGGGCGGGCAATCGTTAACATCCGTCACGGTTATCATCACTTTGGCGGTGGTCTCGGACGAGAGCTTCGGCTTGCCGAGATCCGAGACCTTCACGTGGAACGAAAACATTGGTATGGTTTCGTGATCGAGCAACATGACTGTGCGAATGGCACCGGTGCTGGAGTCTATGTGGAAATACTTTCGCGGTAGATCCTCGACGATGTCGTAATTGAGTAACGCGTTCAACTCGGAATCCGCGTCTTCGGCCTTGATGACCAGCGGCGTGCTGGTGTTGGTCAACACGAGAGAACCGATGCTGGCGCCTTCGCTGATCTCACCGCTATAAAGCGCCTGCAGGAATCGCGGCGCGTTATCGTTTCTGTCGAGCACGTGGATGATGACGTTGCAGGTGGCCGACGCGCCAGCCATGTTCGTCGCCGACACCGTCAGATTGTAGAACTTGGTATTCTCGTAGTCCAGCTGATTCTTGATGACGATCACGCCGGTGCTCGGATTCACGAAGAACGTGTCATTACGATTGCCGCGTACAATCTCGAACTGCAACGACGACGTGCTCCTCGCTTCCACGTGCTTCACGTACGTGCCCAGCTGTTGGTTCTCGTATATCTCCGCGGACAGCTCCTTCTGGGTGAATCGCGGCGGCGCGTTGTCGGCCATTGTCACCATGACGTGCACCGGCACCGAGTTGGTTAAAGCGGGAGAACCGTGATCGATCGCTTTCACGAGAAGTATGTATTCCGACGAGACGCTGAGATCGAGCTCGCGAGCGACGCGGATGAAACCGAGATCCGGGTCGATGGCGAACACGTTGCCGACGTTGCCGGACGTGATCGAGTAGGTGATCCTTGCGTTCTCGCCGCGATCGCGATCAATCGCGCACATCTGCACCACGGCCGAGCCGATCGGCGATGTCTCGTATACCTTGCCTTGAATAATCTCGCTGATAAACTCTGGTTGGTGGTCGTTGTGATCGTGCACGGTGACGATCACCCGGGCGTAATTGCGTTTGGCCGGCGTGCCCTGATCTTTAACCATCACCGTCAGCACGTGCTCCTCGATGGTCTCTCGGTCGAGTGGTTTGTTGAGCGTAATCGAGCCCAGTACCGAGTCCACGTGAAAGATCTCAAGCGAGGCCTGGGTCTGTGCCGCGTGCAGGCTGTAGAAGACCTTCTTGTCCTCGTCCTCGTCGGTCGCGTGCAGCTGCAGGATCTTCTCCCCTTCCTCGACATTTTCGGAAATGTCGACGCGATACGTGCTCTCGGTGAATTCCGGCCGGTGATCATTGATGTCGATCACCGTAACGAGTAGCTGCGTCAGCGCCGTGTGCACTCCATCCGTTACACCGATCGTGAGATTGTAAAAGTTCTGAGTTTCCCAGTCCAGCCTCTTGGCCAGTAGTACATTGCCGTTGTCGCGACCGATGAAGAACTCGTCGCGCTTATCGCCGTCTAAAAAAAACGCGCCGATAGATTTTTAGAGAGGATGTCCTCTCTTTTCGCAATGCATCGCGAAAATCTGATTTTAAAATATTTCGTACACTGAGGGAAACATTTTTTTTAAATCAAATAAATTTGTTTTCTTGAATCTTTTGCTTTATAGAAAAAATTGTTTATTTCATTTAAGCAAAAGCATTTAATTAAATATGCATGTTATATTAAGTACATTATTTTCATTTATATATTTTTTATATTTAAATACTATTTTCGTAAAATATATATTATAATTTATTAAATTAAATATATTATTTTTTTAAATTAAAAAATTTAAAATTTTTGGGAATAAAAAATGCATTTTAATAAATATTTTGTAAAATTAAAATATAAAAATATTTAATTAAAAATTATATTTTTTTAAGCATATATATTTTTTTAAACATATGTAAATAAATATTTAACTTAAGAAAACAGATGTTTTGAATACAAGTAAATACGTGATTAGTTCCCACTAAATAAAGTTTTCTTGAGTTAAAATTTTTTTATTTTAAGATAATTTTTTCTTCAGTGTACATTTCGTTTGTATCTTTGTATGTACATGTGTTATTACGGAATTTAAAATTTTAATTAACTTTTGATGTGATTACTTTTTATGTGATTACGAATACAAGAATATCTTAAATTAGCAATAAGTGTCAAGTTCTCACCTAAAATATCATACCACAAGGCATCGCCATCCTTGTCACTGGCTTGCATGAGCGCAACTAAAAAGCCCGCCTGATCGCTTTCCGTGACTTGCACGCTTTGATTATTTGTCTTGAACGCCGGAGGGTTCTCCGATTCCTTTGGTGCCTCTACAACTTGAACGGAAACTCGAGTCTGATGACTACGCGGGGGTTCTCCGTGATCGGCCGCTCGTATCTACGGAATATATAGCATACGTGGAAGTTCCGATTCAAATCGAGTTTACATCGCAGGAATACCGGTATGAATATGCTGCATTATAAAGTCAGAATCTGAGACCCAATTTGACGTAATTTGCGTAATACCATGTAAATTCACTTCAATTTCTTCTCGCCCCAATATTCTCCCTTCATATGCCAGTGTGTGATGTAGTTTTACACAATTTCACAAGAATATAATAGCCAATTATTATACATTAAATATTCTTTACATTGTTTTTTCATTTTTATGCTTTAAAAATTTTCACATTTACGAGAGATGTTAATTCACAATGCATAATAATTCGCGTTATACGAGAGAGAGATACAACTCCATATAATAATTATCTCTCCCTCTCTTATATTATTATTTATCTTAACTATTTCATGTATAGCTTCTATCCTCGATGATTAAATTTCGCAAACTCAATTTTATCTCATATTTTACTTGATTACGTAAAATCATGATTCCTTTCTTTAATAAATAAAGTAGTTATTTGTACACTATTTACCATCATTTCGTATTCTTGACCAGCCTCGAACCCACGCTGGGAGTACACCATGCCTGTGGTGGGATGAATTTTAAACTTGCCCTTTCCTCGACCGCCCTTGATGCTATACTGGATTCTTCCGTTTTCTCCGATATCTTGATCGTATGCAAGAACCTAACACAAATTTCGAGAGTTATCCCGCTGTTGCTTTTGTTGTTGTTGTGTTACGGCAAATACATCTACTATGGCGTAAACCTAATGTTAGTCTAATCTATAGCCGCGTATAGACTATAAATAAAATCGACATTGCAGACAGTGGCTCGTTTGACATCATTTCTATCGTAAAATCGTAAGATGGTTCTCATCGAAATTTAAATACTTGAAAGAGAGAATGTTTTTAATGTTTCTTCTTCTTTAAATAAAGAAATAGCTTGACGTAATATATATCCTTTAAATTCGGGCAATTACATGTTCCATCGCGAGACAACGAGTCTTCGAAGCACATTGGCATTCACACAATCCACATGCGATACATTGAGAAAAAGAATTAAAATCGTCGTGATAATAAAATGTATAGCAATCGCTCTATTGCTGTGTGTCGATCAGCCTCAAGCGTATCAACAGAGTGTCTACTCAAATTTTGTAAAACAATTTCCTGATCCTTCAGGTTTTTTGTTCAAAATTTCAAGTAAAGAGAATATTTTTTGAATGCAATTTTCTAAATAATAAATAATTTTTTTATTGTGTGCGTTTCCATTCATAAAGAAAAAAAAGAGATACTTAAGTTTCAATGCTAGATTTGAAAATATACTGCAAAAAACTGAATAGCTTTTAGCTCGGTATCAAACATTTTTCATCTGTATAACATTTTTAATTTTTTATCACTAAAATTACGATAAAAATATGAATTATCTCTATATTCTGTTAAAACATTGAATGTATAAAGAAAAATACATATTATATTTAAAATACGTAATTTAGTTGGCTCTTGTCGACTGGCTACAATATAAGAGCAAAGTTATCAAAGAGAGAATTTTAAAATAAATTTCCCGAGTTCTGTGAGTGAGAAATAAAATTGTATGAAAATTCCGATTTTTCCAGATATAAAAAAATCGCAGGTCTTGCACGCTTTTGCAGAGAGTAGACACCCTGGTCAACGATCGCGATCGCGGTAACACGTTAAGAACGTGATCTAGTAGCCGTGCGAAACGAGAACTGCTACGAATGCATTCGCCAGCTATTCTCGGCAAGAGAGAGTCCGGTGCACATACGTATGGAGAAACATATGCTTGTCTACACGTTACTCTCCGCAGTCTTCGCTATTGCTCCGATATCTCTCCTTCCACGCGAGCATTTTTCTACACGTCGGTTCGTTGACGGCGATCCTGTTCCTCTTCTCGCGCGTGCATCTTCCAGATGACGTCGCGCGGCGAAATCAAGACGCGATAAATTTGACTAATTACGTTGTCGCCACGTGAGAAAAGGAAGAAACCTCGATATCTCTGGACCTGTTTTATGCAGCGCATGCATTTTCACACATGCACCGAGCCCGGCGTCCTGTTTGCAAATTTCAAACGTACAGTCGCTTGTGAAATATGCATATGCAGGCGCAATCTATTGTAGCTTCGTCCTATTTCCCTTCGATCGTGCGTGCGAGTAAGTATTTTTCGATCGCGAATCTGTTATCCGCGATATACGATATAATGCTCGGAAAAGAAGCGAGCGCAAATATTTCTCGATTCTGCAGTAATAATGAAACGCAAATGGTCCGTGCTAAACCGGGATATCGTGCGGAAAATTTCAAGGAGAAACCGATATCCTTGATATTCCCGCATCAAGATCCTCGGCGGTGCAATCATTAGTAGCGATAAGAGATAACGGAACATTCTCAGGTGACAGCTTCGCGTATGATAAGGCAACATTCAGGAGCACAATACACATAGACGAGCACAAGAGAGGCACGCGAATTATCAGATACAAGTGGAGGAACGCGAATAGAAGGGCTAGAGACAGAAGATAGAGAAGAAAGACAGACGAGGAACGAAATAAGGCGCAGCCAAAAATGCTAAAAGTGACATATATACATAATCATACACAATGAAAATTATAGAACCTTGAATAGTCGCGCATGGAAAGCTCAATAAATTTATCGCGTTTCATTTGCCATAATTGTTATCTTTATTGGTTGATAATTCGATTATACATGCATGCGCGACTAATCAAAGTGCAATCAGTTAAATGCGTGTACACATGTAGTCCTATCGATGGACAGTAGCACGAGAAGAAGAAAGAGATGTATAATTACAGAAAAATATGATTGATCGATATGTAAAAGCGTTCGTGAATTAACGCAAAGACAGCTCGCGCAGAAATGATATGATTCAATCGCATAATCAAATATAGTATACAATATATAGAGCTATAGCCGCGCGCGTCGTGTCAGACGCTTTATTTTACGTGCCAAGGTGTCCTTACCCTGAAGATACGATCTCCTGACAGGGTGTCGGGGCTAAATGTCTCCCAAGTCCCGTTCTCTAGTAACGTATCGCTCGAAAGGTCGAACTCCCGCGAGCGGTTCTTCGATTTCTGTCGAGAACCAGAGAGGACAGCATTTAGCCTCAGGACTCTGTTTCTATCGGCGATTCGAATTTTTTCTTTTCTTTCCTCCCGACGCGGCTACGTGTCTACGTGGCGATCGTTTATCCTCGTTACTTCTTGCAATCCGACGTCACGTCGCCCGAGAAAAACTTAAAGTCGATTCAAGTTTCCATGCAGTAAAGCCACGCGCGACTTGGAGGTGCTTTTATAAGGAAAAATCTGATATTTTTGCATAATTTTGTATATGTACTCTGACTTTATATCGACGTTATATTTAATATTATATACACATTATAAAATATCACGATACATAGCTATGTATTTAATGCACGCAAAAATGAAAATAATTTTCTTTTTCAATACCCTTCCTCTTTTAAAAGTTGACAGATTTACAACGTAAAGCTTTTAATATGAAAAATGTTATATTTTTTTAAATATAATATTGCAATAGAAAGCAATTTTTTAAATATAATATTGCAATTTTATTTACATTTTTTATTATATGATGCAGATTAAATAAATGAGCATGTATGTTATAGTTTACTGTAAGCAAATAATATTAATATTTATGCGCTGCATGAGGATCGATCGTCGTAATGACTGATGTAATGAAAATTAACAAGTTTTACCCTATTTCCGTACTAGTTAAAACATTATAAATTTCCGTATTTTAAATTCTTATGGCAATCAAATCTCTAAAAATCAAAACTACACTTTTATCATTATTTATATGCATTTGGCAACATAATTTCGTGGCTAATTGTAAGCGCGTTGCATTCAAGTATTGATCTGTTTTAAACCAAGGTCGTAAATTTCCCCGTCTTCAATTAGGTCTGCATCGTTTCAGCGACGCCTCGTAATTTAATTTGCGTCGGCCGATCTCCAGGGTCGATGCTCGTGTTTGCAGCGGACGTGCGACGTTCATAAAGGTTCGTCGTCGTATTCACAAAGGTTACGAGAGAGAGGGGATGAGAGAAAGAGAGAGAAATGGGATGATGCTGTACTGGGAATCTCGTGCTTGTGAGCTAAATCTCTACCCTTTCTACGCGACGATACTCGGTGACGGTTACTTTGATCACATCGAGAAGAGAAGACTCTGATGGAAAAACGATAACGAGAAGCGAGGGAGGAGAGGTCCCAAGCAATCTGTTTCGTGTTGGTGTAATATATCAGACTGTTTTTTACGGTCCGACACACACAGAGAAAGAGAGGCAGGAAGAGAGAGAGAGAAAGAGACAGTGCGGCGCCTCTCTGCGAGTTGTGGGTCGGTGAAATATTCGCGGACTCTCGAGATAGCGTCAAATCGTCATCGCGGGGCTGACGAGACGTGAATAGAAATTTTACGCTTATGTCGCGGGGTGATTCATCATCGCATTGCGGATTAAAAAATTTCACAGATTGTGCGCACGTATATACAAAACGAGGTGGAAAAGGTGATACTTTTTACGCGGGGACAACAATGGAGAAAGCGGGGGTCGCTTTGGAGAGATTTGTGGATCGGCGACCGCTTTGTTCCCACTCGATCCGTTCATCGATGTGGAAATGTATTTACAAGAAACTTGGGTGAATTGAGAAGAGACCCGGTGGTAAATGCACATGAAAGAATTTTCAAACAAGTTCCAGTACCTGGAAGAGGGGCTTGTCGGTCGTCAGCGATGCTGGAATCTGGACAGTGTAAAACTTTGCCTCGAACTCGGGTCCATGATCGTTAATGTCCGCCACCTCGATGACGACTCTCGTAGTCGATGACAAAGGAGGCCTACCGTCGTCCCTTACTGTCACCTGAAAGCACAAAATTACAAATCATAGCGTGAAACAACACAATATATCAGCAGGTATACTTGTTATTTGCAAGATCGTAAAATTCCACGTCTCATTCAAAAAGATATAACGTAATACACAGAAAATGCGTAAAGTATTATTTATTAAATAAAGTATTGTTTTTTTATTACATTAATATGAATCTAATCAATGAACATAAATTTAAAAATAAATCGATATTAAATCGAATATTAAAATGAAAAATATAAGGCAAAGGAATATTGTTCGATAAATAACATGTTAATTTTATTTACGCGATAACCACATTTCGATTATATGAAGAAAAATGCATGGATATTAATATGGGAGTAAATATGAATTTCTCATTAGTTATAAAATTAGTTATAAAACATAAATACATCACTGCACGCAAAAAAGACTTATGTTATTGAAACAGATTTAGCAATATTCAAATACTCTCTGAAAAGCCGGCGCCGATAATTTCAATAAATAAATGAGTTAATGCAAATCCTGATTAATTCATGGTTAAATTAACACAGACATTGAGCTATCAACAAATCGAATCACAGCATCAACATATCGGTGACTCGATTTATTGTCTCGTAATGAAAACGTACGATCAGCTTCACCACGAAAATTTCAACCTCTCATCGTTCATTAATATACAAAATCTGCTCTTGTTTTCTCGTTCCGTGCGTGTCGTAATAAATATTTGTACATTTGAATCTACAACTGTATATAACAAAGAAACATTATGAATGTACGCATAAATTAATATCTTGTCTAATTATTCGGGAACATAAATGAAATACGTATGAAAACACAGCCTCCATTCATTCGTATCGTAGGATTATTAATCAGGAAATGGAAAAGGGCGGAAGAAAAGTATGTTGAGAAAAGTCCAGGTGGTATGTCCTCCGGATTAATGCGATATCTTTTTAGATTTTCCAGCGGTATGACTTTTCATGCGACCGCGCCCCTTTTTCCCTTTTTCCCTTACTACGGTCGTTGTCTTATCGTGCACGTTTCTACCTTCTTTCTCCGTGTCCTGCGAAATCCAGGACTCTCATGCGCGAATATCGCACGTACGATCTGTGCAGTCGGCGATGCTGACCGAGAGAAAGAGGCGGAGGAGATTCGGGTCGTAAAACCGTGTCCCCGCATTTGAGAAGATGTCGCAAACCCGAGATTCCGGTCTTCATACTCGCGAGAAGCGCAAAATGAAATTAAAATCTGAAATAATTGTAGCAATTTAAAATTCAAATGTCGCAGAAATGACACAAGGTCCCTTTCAGTTGTGCTTTAATTAATGTGATTTTAATAAATGCGTAAGCGCCGAAGAGAGAGATCTTTCTATGGTAAAACGTCAGATCACTGTTTTAGGTCAGACAAACAGGCTTATAATTAACTTTCCTGAATGAGTTACACGGATGATACCAGAAATGCTCGCAGTTCGCGTAATTTTACTCGTGAAATTTAATTTAGCATTTTTTGCCGAAAAAACGACTGTAGTCGCTCATACTCTTGATCCTCGGTTTGGTTTCTTTTGCCTCGCGTCTATAAATCTCAAACGTTTCTCGCTCCAGTTTCCAGACGTTCCCTATTCTACTTAACGGATCTATAAATACATCTAATTTCTAAAGCGGCCCTTTGCCGCATCAACGGTAGAGACCAGTAACGAAGTATGTGACTCAGCGCGATGGCGAGCGCTCTATTACGAGATCTGGCAGGCGGTCCATCTATTCGTCCGGCGGAAGAGCCAAACGGACTGATGAGGAGGAGAAAGACGGACAGACAGAGAGAGAGAGTAGACCGGTTACGAAATCCTCCGTCTCGGGGCCCCATCGTCCCCGCCGTTCCTCGGTGCAATAATCGGGCCTTTCACGAAGCAATTTCCGTCCGGACGGGAAGGAACGGGGAGGAAGGCTGTGCGAGGAGACCGCGACGTAAATCCAATGTTCCCCGGGACATCTCGCGGGAGAGGACTACGCGTCAGATCCTCCGGCGTAATACCTGCACTAAATTAGGAGTACGAAACTCCGTTTTATACACCGGACGTCGGGTACCCGGGCACTCTCATCCACGTAGTAGACGACAATGATGCGACGGAGCTTCTCCGGGCGAAACTACTCTTTCACGGATTTCTCTCGTATTCTCACGTACTCGCGCTGCAGGATTATCCGTTTCTCGCAGGATATGATTAAAGCTTAAATTAAATATTAAAGTGTGTTTTGTCCTATATTTTTCATATATTTATTTATAGAATTATCACCTGTCTTTCTGAATGTTATTACTTTACGATTAATATCGCAGAGTATTTAACTCACAAAGTGATAGAATAAAAGAAAGACAAATAATTCTATTAATATAAATTTCTATTAATAATTCTATTAATAAATTTTATAATTATTAATTTAATAAATATATTAAAGATATAGAATAAAACTTATATATTCTGTGATTCGTCAAAAACAAGATATCAATACTTTTCTTCCCTTCGGAATGTTTACGATTTAAATAATTTTAAAATAGAATAAAAATATTTTTCCTCTTCTGTCACTTTTCTACATTGTGTCAATTATAATGAAAAAAATCGTATATGTGTTCTAAATAAATTTAGAAGATATGTACATCAGCGCTAAGATTCCTCCACGTCGTGTTTCTTCGAGGCTATATAAATTTCACCACACTCATCTTCTCGTACCTTCGCAAGGCACGAGAATATATTAAGTGTCGCGTTTCTGGAGCACCCTATACACGATAAACATGGGTCCTTACGGCGTGGTAGATTTAAACGCTTGGCCGATCGCGCTAAATCCGTCCGAGCGTCATCGTATCTCGCCTGCAGGTACTTCGTAGGTTTCCTCGCTTCGCACTCCCTCCGAGCACTCGAAATTTTATCATTTCACTCGACAAGCGAGAGTATTCGCGCTTCGGGCTACTGGAGTGGTTTCATATCGGTTTGCGATCTGTGTCCGCAAGAATTGATCAGAACGACAAACATGTAAATTCTAAATAAAGACTAACTAAAGCAACTAAAAGTAACGCATTCATTATTATTATTTATACATCTAAGAGATTTTTCGATAAATGACAGATGAAAGCAACAACGCGAACGAATCCAGCTAAAAAAATCGTAGATTAAGATTTAGCTATCTCCGTCAAAATTTTTATTTGTCAATAGTTTAAAAATAAGTTTCTCTCTCATGACTCTCATGTATATATATTTTTATTAAGAAAAATATTAAATTGATTAAAAAATTCTAAAAAGATAAATATAAAAAAAATAATTGTAAACTAATATTGAAAAAAGAGAGAGAGAAATTATTTTTATCTCTAATAGGATCTTGTCATCAACTGGCCACGCGGAAGATGAAGCGATGTAGCCGTCGTGACAGTCAGTGATAGAACCGTGTTATTTCTCCGACACGGGCATCGGTTGAGTAACGAGCGATGAAACTGACTTTTCGAATAATCTGGCGACGTTTTGCGACGGGAGAAGAACGTCGTTCCAGAGAAACCATGTTTTCTTCGTGATTAGGGGTAATGGCTGTGCGTTGCCCGGCCGAGGAGTTCTTCGGCATCTTCTCCCTCCCCGCTCGTCCCGTCACCCGCCTTCGCTGTCGCTCCTCTCGCTCGACTCTCCGTAATTACCTCGATGGTCTCTGATGATTTCCTCGGGCTTAACCCCCGCGTTTGCGGCTAAATCCGAGGGATTCACGACGACCAGGCACCGACCATTCGTGACAGCCGCCATAATAAACTCCGAATGCCGCGCGCGGTTTCGCAAGTAGCCGCACTGTTTTCTTCCTACTGATTGTGATCGTCAGATCGGGTTACCATTTTGCCATACTTTACGCGAGAGGGAATCAGCCGGCAAAAATTTCACGAGAATATTTATACATCATACGAAATTATTCCGTTTAAGACGACATTTTTGTACGTCGATAAAGAGTCTGACTTTTCGGTAAACGCTACCAATGCAGAAAATTGCCGAGCGCGATTCGAAGATTCGTATCGCGAGAGAATCCGCATTGTCGACAGCTGGAGGAGCTGCTTCACGGAAGACGTAAATTGTCGACGACGCCCGGTAGGCATCATTACCCCTTACGCTTCTCGAAATTGTCTTCGCCTCGAAAGCCGCGCGCTGACTTTTACGGTCCCTTTTATGGACAACGAATAAGCACGTAGTATACTAACCGCCCGGCGCATTAAAATCCTAACGGGGCAGCATTATACTTCGATGGCTCCCACATTGCATCGTGCGTGTCAAGCTAGAATATCCTCTCGAGAAAATTAAAAAATAATTAAGAGCTCTGTCTTTATTTTCAATTGCTCTAGAGATCTTGATATGGTTTAAACAAATAATTCTGGCCGTTAAATAACCGAAAATGTCTTAGAATAAAGCTTTACACACACCATTGCGTCCGCCAGGAAATGAAAATATTTGAATAATAATTCGTAATCACGAAATCGAAAACAACGAGATCTGTTCCCGTTCGCGATTTAATAATCATTCCGCTTGTATAAAGCAAAACCCTCGAAAGTTTCATGTAAGCCGATTCGCTGTAATAGCAGGGCGGGAAGCGCAATGCGAAATCCGGACTTATCCAGAGGATATCGTAATATTCTCTGATCTATCTAAAGCTCTGTTAATAATAATCGGTCCGTGTTCGCGGGAAATTTCTACTTCTCGCGTTACTTGGTCAGAACAAAACCAGCCACGGCTAATTTCGTGCCATAATAAATTTGCGTTTCCAACACGTTTTCTTCGCGAATGCTAATTCTCCGGAAATACGGTACTTAGAGCTTTTTTACGTCATCTTCTTCTTTCTTTTCTCGCCACAATCACGTGCCAATAATACGTTCTATTTGGCAAGTCGAGTTTTCCCTTTTCCATTCCTTTTCTTTTCCACTTTTCCGTCCTTTCTCTTTGAAAGTAAACCGACAGATCGTTAAGGGAACATCACTCGCTTACCGGAGCAGAAAAGCATGCATAA